CTCCTGCCCTCTGTACCTCTCGTGTGTCTCACGCTCCGTGCCGTTTGGGGGTTGTTTTATGTCTGTTTGTCATGCAGAAAAGGTAGGGACTGGCCCAGGACGGGCACAGACGGCCTGCTTTGTTCTTTCATTTCCTCCAGCACTTTCTTTCCTCCCGCGTCCAGTCCAAGGGCTTTTATTTGGCTGCGTAACTGCTGCCCGCTTGTCCTCTCTTGGCCCTGCTCCCAGATTGCAGTCTCCTGGCAGCCTTCCTCGGTCCTCTCCACACTCCCCCCGCCCAGCCTGCCCGCATGCACGTGCAGCCTTGGTTTTCGCTCCGTCGCCTTGAAAGTTGTGAGGAGGCCCCGGGTGGCGGTGACCGCGTGGCCCGTCAGTGCTGCCCTCTCCTTGTCCTCCCCCTGTGGAAGCACACCTGCTTTGCCTTGCTGCCTGTGCAAATGTTGGACAAGGAGACAGACTCACACTAATCCTCAGCTTAGCAGAGCTGGAGAGCGGATTTCTGGAATTTTCCACCCGAGGACCATTTCTGGGGTTTATCTGTTCTGTCTCCTGTCTACCGGTGAGGCATCTTGACTGTTTCTTCTTCTGCTTTTCAGTTCCTTTTCCCTTGGTGGTCTATTTCCTTTGAGTGTAGACTCGCAAGTGACCTGCTACCGAGATGGCCAGAGGGTCAGGAAAGCGTCGGGGAGGTGGGAGAGGCGCGGCACCGGAGGAACGTTCAGAGGAGTGCGTGCAGCGCTGGTGTCCTGAGCGGGGGAGCGGCTGTCAGCAGCACGAGTCCTAGTGGCTTTTCTAGTGAAGCGAGGCCTCCAGGAGGGCAGCTGATGTGGCTGAAGCAGGTGTCCAGACAACGGCAAGCTCCATCCAGGAGACGAGCCCTTCCTGGCGCCTCCATGTACCTCGTGGTGCCTCTGCCTTAGATTTTACATCCTCCCCAGCCAAGCACTGCCACGGGGTAGCCCCACGGCCGCAGGTGCTCAGGGCCTGGGAAAGGCAGGCACAGTCCGAGAAGGCAGCCGTCAGGGTGCTGCCTCCCAACCCCGACTTCTAGGTGCAGCCTTTCGGGTGAACTGCCTCTCATGGGGTTGGGTTTTGCCGGAGACCCTCATGGTTGATGCTCTATCGAGTCAGGGATCGGCAGGTTCCATTCCCAGCTGGGAGACCCCTGGCTCCGTCCTGGAAAGGAGTGAGTACACTTCTGTTTCTTCCCGTGGGAGCCTGTGGTGGCCAGCCTGGCGGGGCTGACACTCCCAGGCGGCAGGGGCTTGCATTGCAGCACAAGCTCCCCAGTCTCCTCCGTGGCAGAGAGTAGATGCTGGGCCTCAGGACTGGAGAGAACAGCTCCCGTAGCTTGAGCTCAGGGCTGAGTTTTAAAGAAGGATCTGCTGGCCCTAAAGCTATAGTGCGTGCTCCGAGGAGGGCCCTTTCGGATCTTGTTTACACCTGTTACTCAATCTTGGGCCGAACGGTACACACTGTGTGCACATTGGAGGAAAGAGAGGCCCAAGAAGAGGGGATGCCACCTCGCTGGCTACCTGCTAGCAGCTTAGTTAGGAGCCCTGCTCCCTGGGACAGGAGACGGGGACAGAACTTGAGTCTAAAGATCCCAGCATCTGCCCATCCCTGCTCTTGTTTCCAAAGCCATTGATGATAATGACTGGAGGCCCAGCTTGAGCTAGTTATAGCCAAAAATGGGTGCCTCTCACCTCCCAAAAGAAGGGGTGTTTACTTCTCAGCAGCAGGTAGCCACTAACTGCAGCCCCTAGGCGTGCTTAGGCAGTGAGAATGGGAGGAAGGCTGGAAGGGCTGAGAAATGCAAAAGGCTCAGAGTATTTATAAATTCTACCCCGAGTGGGGAAGGGCAGGTACCAGACCTGGATTACGCTGCACCAAGGAAATAGCCCACGGGTTCTCCTGAGACAGGAACTGTGCAGCCCAGAACCCCCAGCCACTGTGCCCAGCAGGGCAGGCTGTGCCCACAGGCTCAGCACACAGGCCGCAGGAATCCCAGGCCTGTCCTTGCTGGCAATGACTATGGGCTGCCGGTTTTTGCCGAGACCGGTGGGATGGGACCCTTCATTAATATTTGACTTTAATACGTGGGTAAGGATATATTTTTTTGTCTATGTTCTGTTTCATCTTATGTAGATTATTATAAATTGATGTAAACCACGTGAGAGGAAAATGTTAATAAAAAAATGCAAAGCCCCAACATTTGCACACAACTCAGCCCCGTGGTGCGGACATTTGTGTTCTCGGTGGTCCAGGGAAGACCACCAATCTAAATATTTAACTCTTCAGGCTGCATCCAGATGTGAGTTCACAGGCATCTGTTTACCAGTTCACCTCCCCTGAGCTTTCCTGTGACTCCGTGGGGACGGTGGCAGCTGGAGGGAGGGGAGCCCAAGCCGCCGCCTCCTCTTCACAAGGCCGCCAGGTCACCCAGCAGCCAGCTAGGAAGTACAAATGCCAGGGACCTGGCCATCAGCATCCTCAGAGAGATGGCAGGAACTTGTCCATTCAAGTGCAGGCTTCCTATTTTGTGTAAACTTTACATTTTCCTTGGATGTGGCTCAGCTTTGGGGCAGCCTCTGGCCTCATCTGCCTGCAAAGAGGCGGGATCCCCCGAGAGCCCACTCCCTTTAGGAGCCAGTGGGGTTAACGTAGCTCCCACCAGCCCCAGCCTTTGGACACTTGTTTATTCTGGAGATCAGGAACAGATGTCTCTGAAAATTGGTGTTTGGTTTATGAGGTCATACTGACTCCTTAGCCATCTAAAACAGGAAACGATTCATCTCCTCTCCTGATTGAATAGTCAATGTGGACAATGCTTCGCTTATTGAACTGATGGCTACTGACAGCCCAGGGCTCATCCTTTCCAAGGCAGCCGTGAGGGCAGCTTGTCCTGTGTCCGGCTGTTCAGTGTATCTGACCCCATGCGCCGGACTGGCTGGTAGGAGATGCTGGGCATCCTAACACTTTGCCAGGTGCCAGGTAGGAGTCTCTGCTATTGCTCTCAAAGTGCTTATAGGTGACATGTAGGGACAATGTAGAAAATCATCCTAAATTAGTTCTCGGACCTCTGAGGACACTCCAGACAGCCTAGCAGCAATGACGCCTCATGCCTGTAAGACGAGGCCAGGCATTATATAGAATTCACCATAGAAGGACATGAGCTCTGCACACTAACTCACACTCATTCCAAAGGAAACAGCAGACATGGCCAGGGAAGGTGTTACCAGCTGGGTTTGACATTATCACTCACATACACACACACACTCGGGATGCCTGGATGTTCCAGCTGAGTCTCTGAACTCTGGTTAAGAGTGGGTGGGCTAGAAGACAGCAGGCAGGGGGAAAGCAAGCAAAAAAAGAAAAGGCGAAGGAGTTACTGTACTGCAGGAAAAAAGACACAACCACTGGCTAAAGGCACGCCTGCCTGCCTGCCCCCAGGAGCAAAAGCCTGAACCCATCCGCTTCATCTTGCCACCGAAGCACCAGAGTAAAGCAGAACCCGGGGCAAACCCTAATCATAAAAGGCTATTTTTTTGTCTATGATACACAATAAGACTGAGCTTTTGTTGTCAGAAAAGGGCTACCAGGTCAAGTAAAAAACACTAATATGTTAAAGCAAAAGAACACATACCAGAGAGCAAGGGAGTGGTGAACAGCCCCTCATCGATGTCTGACTTTACCCAGTACCTGCTGTGACTTCGTCAGAATGAGGGGAGCAGGCTCCTCCCATGTCCTGGAGCCAGGCCGAGGCAGTGCTCGGAGCATAACACCAGTAAGTGGCGCAGACCGCAAGCATCCCTATCAGCCGCCCACAGGAGGGCTTTTTAGAAGAGGCCAGTAGGACTTACGCCTGGGATTTCGATGCGTCCTAAGAAAGGGCGAGGCTGGCTTCTTGGCTGGAAGGCCCTGGCTGATAGAACAGTCTCGACGAGGGTCACACGACTACAAACCCTGAAAATCTGGCAATCCCAGACTTCTCAGGAGCTTTCCCAATTTTTCTCCTTTGAATGTTCAATCTTTGGGCCACCTGGCGCCATTTTGGGGAACTATGGAATTTGAAAATAAAAATAAACCATTTAAGCTGTAATATAAATACATTTTTTAAACAAGGATAGCAGAAGGCTAAACAAAGTGACACAATTGGTCAGCAGGCATACATGTACTCTGCCCTCCCTGACGGATACGTGAGAGGGATGGCTGCATGGAGTTCCAAGGTCGAGCAGCTTCCTGGGTCTGTAAAGTCACCTCCGTTCCCACAGCAGCAACCAGCCAGGGGGCCAAGTGTGGTCAGCACTGAATCTCTGTGGAGCTTAACTCCTAACCTGCCGGAGAGAGAGGGGCTGGCGTCCAGGAGCAGAGAGTGTGGCTGCTCCGAGGCTGGAGGCGACCAGTGGCCGGGCGGCTCCTCACAACACGGACTGTCTGAGAGGAAACAAACGTCTTCAGGCTCTGAAGCGAGGGCCCTGAGTGGTGCAGAAATGCCCTCCACTGAGCAGCTCTGGTCCTGGGTGGTGGTGTCCGTCCCCGGAGGCAGGCACTCTCACCGTAGATAATAATCGATTGCAGCGGAGAAAGCAGCAAAACCGCCACAACCAATGACCCCAGCATTTAAGCCAGCTGTAAAGCAAGCAGAAAAGGCATCACCTGCGGTGACAAATGCGGGGCCAGGCTGCATTCACAAAACGTCCGCATACCCACAGATGCAAAGAGAGCAGCTAAGTGCCTGTCAGAGATCTGTGAGGCTTCAATGGAGCCGTGGACATGATCTAACCCAGTGCTTTAGTTACACTGTGCATTCGTTTAACTTTTCTCATTCCAAAGAATTAATATTTCCAGTCTCATGGAAACAGCTCCTCACAGGCAGGAAACTGGTTAAGAAAACCAGCCCTTGGAATCAAGTGAAAGCATATGGCCTGCCCCTGATTTGTTTATGGAATAAATTCCTGGGAAGGTGATCAAAGCAGTCTTAGAGGGAGCTGAGCTTCCCAAAGGCCCTGACAAAGCTGAGCGATGGGAAGACCAAAGGAAAAGTTGCCCTCTAAATCATAAATGGCCGTTTGAGGAGCAAAAGCGAGTTTTTAATGATAGCAAATCATCCCACCTCTCTGAAAACGAGGAAACGGGCCTTTTGCTTTGGGTAAGTCGGGGCACAGCAGACAGAGAGTGGCCCAGCAACGGACACTGTTAGGAAAGTCAAGTCATTGACCCTTATACCACACTCCTGATGGGAATGCCAACAGGGAGGAGTGGCAGGAGATTAGTTTCTTTCTTCGTTGTTTTCAGCTGATAATCCAACATTTCTTAAATGTCTATATTTGGTTTCCATGGGTAGAAATCTAAGAATCCTCAACTGCAGAAAGACATTACTGTGATAACTTGTAATAAATAAAATTAAAACTGACAATTGTATAGTATTATTAAGAAAAACGTCTAAATACTGGAAATGCATGAAGCTGGAAGTTCAGCATGACGTGTGGACAGATGGGCTTTCCAGGGCTGAATGGGACCTGGCTATGCTTCCGTACTAGCCTGCATGTGACCACACTCCAGGAATTACTGTAAGGACGTTCTCCCGTATTTCCAACATGGGGCAGTTCTTTTTCCTAAGACAGGTCTAGATCTATCAGTGGTTCTCACCTCGGAGCAATTTTGCCCCTCAGGGGACATTCGGCAATGTCTGGAGACACTTTTAGTTCTCACAACTAAGAAGTGCTACTAGCATCTCTAGTGAGTAGAGGCCAGGGATGTGCAAACATCCTTAAATACATGGACACCCTCCTCCCCACAAGCAGATTTATCTGGTCCAAAATGTCAATAGTGCCAAGGAGAAGAAATCCTGAAATTTCCAAAAGTGAGTTGACACATACGCAAACGTGATTCATTTGTCAGAAGGGAAGAATACCAAGTGCCCACATGTGCCTCGGGCTGTCCCTGGAACACTCATATGTTGAGAAATGTCAACTTCAGCATGCTGTCCAAGGCCACAAAGAAAACCACTCGAGACTTGTTTACCAACCTCTGAAACCGATGGCTCCTCCAGTGATGCAGCCACTAATGACACTGTTCTTCCAATCTGACTTCCCCCGGTACTGTGGGAGGAGAAGTGCAGTTTAGAGCCAAAGAAACACGCCAGACAAGACAATTAAGGGGAAAAAGCACAGGGTTTCTAGCTGGCTAATTTAGTCCCGCCCCAAAGGAAACCTAATCTTTTTCTCTTTCAAAAGTATAGCTCCTAAAATTTGAATGTGTTCATAGATGCTTCCTGCAGGTGACACCAGAGCACTGAAACCAAGTACAGCATTTGAAAAGTAATCCAAATCTCGTCTCGGGCTCCCCAGTAAGTCTCGTGTTTAAGATCATCAACCAACTTTAAGCCCACAAAAAGAAGTCAAGAATCATGCAAGCCCAAATCATAAATACAAAGAGTTTACAATAGGGGCTATTTTATGGACATTCAATCTAGCAAATATCAGACATTTCTGATCTGCTTTCTAATAACATTAAGAGTCTTTCTCTTTAGAAGTCATAAGATGGCAGAAGGCATGGCTTTCGCAGGAGGCAGAGACACTTACAGATTCGACCAAACACTCAGTGCAAGAAAACATGGCGCCCACAATGGCAAAATTTTTGGCGTAGGACATTCCTCTCTGCCCCATGTCCTTCAGAACTTCTTTTGCTGTCGGAGTCCGGTAAGGATCCTTGGGGTCAAAGCCCACATTGGTATCAATGCCGGCGGTGAACACCCCAAATGCACCTCCCAAGACAAATCCTAAAAACAAACAGAGATGAAGATTTCTTGGCATGTTTTCCGAGTTACTGCAATGGGTCATACTCGAATAGCACCTTCTGGGTGGCCACCAGGGAAGAGGAGACCCATCCCCCTTGCACCCAAACGCTCCACTTGCCTGGCTTCCACATCACACAACCTAGGCTCTGTCTTGTTGACAGCTTCCTCTCTGTCTCCTCCTGGATTTCTTCTTTATTTCATCTTATGTTTCTCGAGATTCAGTCTTTAACCCTCTGTTCTCTCTTTACACTCTCTCACATGTAACCAGTCACCCTTGAGTGCAGCTATCAACTTTGCAAATCACTCCCTTAACAATGGTAACATTCATAATAGTCATTTAATAAATACCATCTGCCAATTGCTATGACATTTTATAGTTAGAGCCTCATTTATTCTTCACAATCCTGTGAGGTAGACATTTTTACCCCCTCCTTTCTGTAGCTGAAGGCACCGAGGCTCAGAGCGGTTAATTACCTTCCCTAAAGTCACAGAGCTACCAAATGGCACACTCTACATTGCCGTCCACATCTGACCTTCCTGAGCCTGCTGGGCATTTCCATATGAATGTCCTCTCATTACCTCATGGCCAGTCCGGTTGACCCTTGAACAGTGCAAGATTAAGGGTACCAAGTCCCCCACAGTCAAAAATCCACATATAACTTCTGACTCCCCAAAAACATTTGTCCCGAGCAAGACCCAGTGAGGAGCCCGAGACCCAATCCAAAAGAGAAAGAGAGCCTGGTCACCATGACCACCAGCTGCGCTAACCACCAGACACGCACTACTGAGGTGCCCGAGTGCAGTGGCACGAGCCAGGCCATGTCAGGCCATCATAAATGGATATGGGTTTTTAAGTCAAAATGACACCAAGAAGATGTGTGTGTGCATCAGACTGCCATCAACAACCCCCGGAAATATCTGCGCAGTGTAGGATGGAGAAACCAGTCTGCGGTGGTGGAAGGACAGAAGGTGCTGAGGCAGCAATGTGACTGGCCCAGAGGAGTTCCTGTAGAGCCGCTCCTGCTGATCGGCACCAGTTCAGATGTGGCTGCAATGGCAGACGCTGTGGACCTCCCCGAAATCATGCTGGGGAGGGGGGGGGGGGCGGGGGAAGGGAGCAGCAGCAGTGAAGGATTTGACCCTCCTGCCACTGATGGGCACTTCTTTGGGG